GAACTGCTATGCCTCTCAGTCTGTGGGATGGGCTTACATAGAAGGTGTCTTAAGGGGTCCAGTGGTGTAGTCTCTTTGTTCAACTGAGCTGGATGCTCTAGGAATGCTCCTTGTGTGCATTGTTTGGGCTCTCCTGTAATTGGGACTTTATTGTTGATGTCCTGTTTGTGGGAGGGATCTCCTCTCTGACTAGCTTCCAGTTTCAACCCCAATGTCTTCCTGCCACCTGTCCAGTGGTCGGGGACTCCTTAGCCCAGAGGCTGGGTCTGCCTTGAGCCTCACGCCTTGATTGACCCTGTTCTGAGCTGTACTTCCTTCCCCACGGAGCTGGTCCTGCTGGTGTCACCTGCAGGCACTTGGGGTCCTGCTGGCTTTTGCTTTCCTGAGCAGTCTGGGATGGTGTCTGTGGTGGAGACCAAACTGCTGTTTTGACTAATTAGATCATTCAAAGACTCAAAGCCTCTAGAGAACCACCTCTGTCTGCAAACTGATTGGATTCAGTCTTGAGTAGCCTCAGTCAATTGTGCACAGTTTGGGTGAAAGGTTTTCCAACAGGGTGGGACAACTGCTTCTGCCTGTAGGCTAATTGTTATTCTCAGTCTCTTAATGAGCCTCAGAAACTCCACAGGGTGGGGCAAGGGGCTTTCCAATAGGGTGGGCCAACTGTCTCCCCCCTCCCAACCCTCAGGCACAAAACACCTGGATAGCAAATGTCTGTGTGAGAAAGATGACCTCCACAGCATGAGGGAATGACTCAGTACAGGAAACTAGGGTGTCTACCTTCTGAGGTCTAGCCACATAGCCTGCAACCCTGGCTTCTGCTCAGCTCCAGTCCACTCTGTCCTTCCTCTGCCAGAGCCCAAGGTGAGTGTCTGCACATGGGATTTTGTGCACTGGCCCTTTAAGAGGGTCTTTGCATTTCTAGCCGTCTCTCCCTGGCACACAGCAACCCTGCTGCTTTTCACAATCAGATGTTATGTGAGCACCTTTCTCAGTTCTGGTGCTCTCTACTGGGGAGCCTAGCTTAGGGTTTAGACCCCAGAGTTCTCAGTGGCAACCCCCTCCCCCAGCTGAGATCTCTCTCCAGACCTTCAGCTGCTGTCTGTGGGCGCCTGGCCAGCCCTTTCGTGCCTCCGCCCCTCCTGCCAGTCTCTGTGTGGTCTCCACTTTCCATCCTCGGTTATCAGGGTTCTCTCCAGCTGGTCTTCAGTTGATTATTCAGGAAGTTTTTCTGTATTTTAGTAGTATTTCCAGTTTGGTCCTGGGAGCATGTCTGTGAGCTTCCACTTAATCCACCACCATTTTTAATCCCTACATATATCCTTTTTATTCTCTCTCTTTTTAAATATATTTTTATTGATTTCAGAGAGGAAGGGAGAGGGGCAGAGAGATAGAAACATCAATGATGAGAGAGAATCATCTATCAGCTGCCTCCTGTACACCCCCTACTGGGGATCGATCTGGCAACCTGGGCATGTGCCCTTGACCAAAATTGAACCCTGGAGCCTTCCGTCCACAGGCTGATGCTCTATCCACTGAGCCAAACCAGCTAGGGCTGGTTTTTTTTTTTGTTTTTTTTATTATTAAGTAAGTGATAGGATATGCTTTGTTCTGCAAGTTGCTTTTTGCCTTGAATAAATTTTGGTGATTTTTAGTTCTACCTCTTTCTGTTGGTGGCTGCACATCATTTATTCATTCCTTCACTGAACATGTGTCCTGCCATGTCCTGGCCCATGAGAGCACATCCTATCTAATAAAAGAGAAACATGGTAATTGGCGTACATCCGCTACCCTTCCCTTTGGCTAATCAGTGAGATATGCAAATTAACTGCCAGCCAAGATGGCGGCCGGCAGCCAGGCAGCTTGAAGCTAACATGAGGCTTGCTTGCTTCAGTGACGGAGGAAACCAACGTTCCCCGCCTGCCTTGCCCGCCTCTGAGCTTGCAGTTTGAAACATTGTTACAAATATAGAAGCTAAACAAAACCCCAGAAACCTGCTTTCAGCCAGCCAGGATCTCAGAGCTGGAGTTGATACAGTGTTTCGATTATAGAACCCAAACAAACCAGATACCTGCTTTCAGCAGCAGAGGCCTCAGAGCTGGAGCCAGAGCTAAAGCTGGCCCAGAATAAAAAAGAAAAAGAAAAAAAGGAGCAGTTGGGAGCTTCAGTCATCCGCCAGCCTGAAAACAGCCCTCAGCCCCTCATCCAGACTGGCCAGGCACCCCAGTGGGGACCCCCACCCTGATCCAGGACACCCTTCAGGGCAAACCAGCCGGCACCCACCCGTGCACCAGGCCTCTATCCTTAATAGTAAAAAGGGTAATATGCCTCCCAGCACCGGGATCAGCAGAGCTGCGAGGCCTCCCAGCACTGGGATCAGCGGAGCTGAGAGGCCTCCAGCACCGGGATCAGTGTGACAGGGGGCAGTGCCCAAACCCCCTGATCGCCCTGCGGCTCTGTGTGTGACAGGGTGCAGTGCCCCAAACCCCCTCACAGGCCCTGCTCTGTGTGTGACGGGGTAGAGCCATAACCTCCCCATCAGCCCTGCCCTGAGTGTGAGAGTGGCAGCGCCCCAACCCCCTGATCGGCCCTGCTCTGTGGGTGATAGAGGGCAATGCCCCAACCCCCTGATCCGCTCTGCTCTGTGCGTGACAGGGGGGAGCTCCCCAACCCCCTGATGGGCCCTGCTCTGTGCGTGACAGGGGGCAATGCCCCAACCCCCTGATTGGCCCTGCTCTGTGCGTGACAGGGTACAGAGCCCCAACCCCTCTGATGGTCCCTGCTCTGTGTGTGACAGGGAGAGGTGCCGCAATCTCCCGATCGACCCTGCCTTGAGTGTGACAGGGGGCAGTGCCCCAACCCCCCAATCGGCCCTACCCTGAGCGTAACTGAGGGTGGCATCTCAACCTCCTGATCCGCCCTGCTCTGTGCATGACAGGGGACGGCGCCCCCACTCCCCAATCAGCCCTGCTCTGAGCCCGACCAGGAGCTGCACCTAGGGATTGGGCCTGCCCTCTGCCACCCGGGAGCAGGCCTAAGCCAGCAGGTCGTTATCTCCCGAGGGGTCCAAGACTGTGAGTGGGCACAGGCCTGACTGAGGGACCCTCCCTCCCCCCCGAGTGCACAAATTTTTGTGCACCGGGCCTCTAGTCTACACTAATAAAAGACAAAGATGCTAATTGACTGTACCTTTGCTATGCCCTAAGCCACACCCACCAGCCAATCAGAGCAACTATATGCAAATTAACCCATCCAAGATGGTGGCCAGCAGCCATGGAGCTGGAGCAAGCAGGAGGCTTGGTTGCCCAGGCGATGGAGGAAGCCAAGCTTCCCACCAGCCCTGAGCCAGCTGTGGCCTCCACTAAAGGCAACAAAGTTTCAATTATAGAAGATAAACAAATCCCAGATACCTGCTTCCAGCCAGCCTTCACTGGGAGCTTGGGTGGCTGGGGGTTGTGGCCAGCCTGCAAACAGCCATCAGCCCCTCACCCAGGCTGGCCACACCCTCATGGGGTAAGGGTCCCCGCTGGGGGGCTTAGCCAGCCTGGAAACGACCCTCAGCCCCTCACCCAGACTGGCCAGGCACCCCAGCAGGACCCCTCACCCTGAAGGGGCTGTGGCCAGCCTGCAAACCGCCCTCAGCCCCTCACCCAGTATGGCCAGGCACCCCAGTGGGGACCCCCACACTGAAGGTGCTGTGGCAGCCTGCAAATGGCCCTCAGCCCCTCACCCAGTATGGCCAGGCACCCCAGTGGGGACCCCCACCCTGAAGGGGGTGTGACCAGCCTGCAAACACCCATCAGCCCCTCACCCAGGCTGGCCAGACACTCCTATATAATAAAAGAGTAATATGCAAATTGACCCTAACAGCAGAACGACTGAGAATGACTGGTCACTATGACATTATGACACATATTGACCACCAGGGGGCAGATGCTCAATGCAGGAGCTGCCCCCTGGTGGTCAGTGCGCTCCCACAGGGGGAGCTCTGCTCAGCCACAAGCCAGGCTGATAGCTTCCAGTACAGTGGTGGTGGTGGGAGCCTCTCCTGCCTCCTCAGCAGCGCTAAGGATGTCCGACTGCAGCTTAGGCCTACTCCTCACTGGCAAGTGGACATCCCCCGAGGGCTCCCGGGCTGCCAGAGGGATGTCTGACTGACAGCTTAGGCCCGCTCCCTGGGGGATCGGGCCTAAGCCAACAGGTGGTCATCCCCTGAGGGGTCCCAGACTGCGAGAGGGCACAGGCCGGGTTGAGGGACCCCTCCCCCCCGAGTGCACAAATTTTTGTGCACCGGGCCTCTAGTGTACTATGTCTAGGTCTTGCTCTTATTGATATAGCAGTGAACATTCTTGTACCTGTGATTCCTTGTATATTTGCCAAGTCAGGATACCCACCTTTTAATTTTTTTAAAATATGTTTTTATTGATTTTAGAGAAAGGAAGGGATAATGAGGAGAGAGATAGAAACATCAATGATGAGAGAGAATGATTGATCAGCTGCCTCCTACACACTCCCTCCTGAGAATCAAGCCCAAAACCTGGGCATGTGCCCTGACTGGGAATCGATCTGGTGACCTCTTGGTTCATGGGTGGACACTCAATCACTGAGCTGCACCAGCCGGGCCCACCTTTTAAATTTTGATGGAAACCAGCAAGTGGCCTTTAAAAAGGTTGTGCCAATTTTTCTTCTTGTTGACAACATGAAATTGCTATGAACCACACCTGGATATTATAATTTTAAAGATTTATTTATCTGGTTACCAGATTTGGCCATGTCACTTTAAAAAGGTGCTTGCTGCTGCTTCCTGCTCATGTAGAGGCTGGGCTGGCAGCCACATGGGAACCTCAGAGGAGGGCCAAGCACCCACCCCAGCTAGTGAGGGTGTGTCCCCGAGGTGGTGATACCTGCTGGGACTCATCATCTCAGCCGCTTGGGCTTGTGCTAAAGTCACCTCAGTGCTGCTCTCAGTCCCATCATGGACACGTGTGGTTTCTTCACAGGTGGCAACTGGGAAGTGGAAGCAGATCAGTAAATACTGTCCCCTCGATCTCTACTCGGGGTAAGAGACCGTCTTTGTCCCTAGTGCCATCTTCCCTGCAGGTGGGGTGGTTGGGGGTATCCTGTGAGGGGTCATGGGGGTGCTTTGCCAGGCGGGTGGAGACAGGTGCTCCTCCCCTGAGAGTGGAGACCCGCAGCCTGTGCACCAGGTGCCCCAGCCACAGTTTGGCCCCAGGCAGGGACTGCAAGGCCTGCTGCTGACCCTGAGCATCATCCTTTCTGTTTTAGAAATAAGCAGAGAATGTACTTTGCCTTGAAAAGCTTGTTGCAGGAGGCACAGAACAACTTGAAGATATTTAAGGTAAGAGGTGCTTCTGTGCTGTGGCTCTCCCACAGTGGAGCCCGCCATGCCGGGCTGAGCAGTGCATCCTGCTCTGCTCCCAGTCGGGCGGACACACAGGGTGGGCCTTCCAAGAGCATCCCAGGTGCAGCCTTACCCCCAGGGTGTGGGCTCCCTGACCCAGGTGCCTGGGCTCTAATCAGCCCCGACCTGGGTCTGGGGTGAGGATAGGCCTGGGTGCCTCTGAGGCCTGGCTGGCATCTGCCTTCCCAAACCTGGAAAAGGGAGACCCCCAAAGTCAGTTTGTGTGTTTAATTCTTATAAGGACTTGAGGAACTCTATGTTTGAATTCGAAGATAGATTTCTTTCCATCGGGGGACTTATCTGGAACCTGTGGTCAGGCTGGCATTCTGTCTGAGGTGGCATTCTGTCTGAGGTAGCCTTTCTGGCTGCCCTGCCAGCTGGGCCTGGACAGCTTGTCCTGCCCTGCGCCCCAGGCTGGGCCTCAGACCTGGGCCGTCTGCTGCTTCTGTTGGCATCAGCACAAAAAAAATCTAGAGTTTAGGAGAATTGTCTCAAAAGGGATGGATTAAGAGAAGGTACACAGCATGGCTTTTAAAACTAACATCTGGAGCAATGCAGTTCATTTTCTCAAGTGCCGTCACTTTTTTTAAATTTTATGTTTTTATTGACTTTAGATAGAGAGAAACATGGATGAGAGAGAAACATTGATCGGCTGCCTCCTGCACGCTCCCTCCTGGGGATCGAGCCCGCAACCCAGGTGTGTGCCCTGATGGGGAATGGATCCTGTGACCTCTTGCTCATGGGTCAGCGCTCAACCAGTGAGCCACCCTGACCTGGCCCAGGTGCCATCACTTCTCCTGAGCAAGCTGAGGTCTGCAGGTCTCGCCTTCCGTGCCTCACCGCTCCCGGTATGGAGCAGTTTCCTGGCCACACTCGGCACCACCATCCTACTGTTCATGTTCGTCCGCGTGTTGTTCGTAGACTCCATGACTGTGGCTCTGTCCACCCCAACACTGGTCACTTGTGAAAGTTTGGGGGGACATGTGGAGTGACATGGAGCCTGAGTTGGTGGCTCTCCTCCAAAAGTCACATGAGGTCCTTGAGCAGCTGTATCTGTGGGGGTAAAACTCCATGCCCTCCAACTTCAGATGCTGGAGAGAAGAGGTCTTCCGCCTCTGGGCTTGCTCAGCCCTCCTGGGCTGGGAGGGGGAACCAGCCTCGCGGGCCAGTGCTGCCACCACACTGGGCCTCGCACTGGGCCTCAGGCTCAGTCCTGGCCCCCTGGTGCCAGCTCAGCACATCCTCTTGGCCTGTTTTCCTCCTGGGAACTGCTGCCTGCCCTTTGCCTGGCCCACCCTGCTCCGCAAAAGGCCCATCTCAAAGGTATCTCTTATGGCTTCCCTGGCCTTGGCTGGTGGTGGCCTTCGTTGTGTCCCCATCACCTTGGACACCCACTGAGCTCTGGCAGTGCCAGCAGGGCCTCCCGGGGAAGCTGCATCACGTTGGTTCCCAGGACTTTGCTGAGGGGGGCATACCTGTCTGCATGCCTATGGGTTGACTTGGCCACCTGGGGCGGAGCAGGAATGTCCTGTCGATATGCCCTGCTGCTGCATGACAGGCACTCACACCTCAGCTCTGCCGGGGAGGGCAGCGGGGGCGGCTCTGGCTCAGGGTCTCTCCGGAGGCTGCTCCCAGCGAAACCCTGGCTGAGCCAGTCTGAGCTCCCAGGGCTTCAACCACACTGCTGTGATCCAAGAAGAGAGCCACAGTGCAGGCCAGGCACCTTTCATCCCTGACCTATGAAAGACTATAGCTGGACACGCTGCCACTCTGCCCTATGCTGTTGGTCACATGGACCTCTGTAAAGTGGAGAGAACCTCAGGGTGTGAATATCAAGGGAGATGGACCTTTGGGCACATCCTGCAGGCTGTTAGTCACACCTTCTCACAGGCAAGGAAACGAGGCAAGAGGTTCCACTCCCATGGGATTGGCTGCTGCTCAGGGGGTGGGAACCAGGGTTCTCTAAGGGCCTTTTCACCAGACACCATAGACCAGCCGTGGGCAAACTACGGCCCGCGGGCCGGATCCGGCCCGTTTGAAATGAATAAAACTAAAAAAAAAAAAAGACCGTACCCTTTTATGTAATGATGTTTACTTTGAATTTATATTAGTTCACACAAACACTCCATCCATGCTTTTGTTCTGGCCCTCCGGTCCAGTTTAAGAACCCATTGTGGCCCTCGAGTCAAAAAGTTTGCCCACTCCTGCCATAGACCAAGCATGTCAAACTCAAAGGCTAACACAGGCCAAATAAAGAAGGTTTAGGTGTATGCGGGCCGCAAAAAAACAAAAGCTTCAGTTTTCATAGAAATGTAGGTTTATTTTGATAGAGACATGCTGAATACAAAGGGCTGAAATAAATGAGTCATCGTTCGCATAAAATAACTGAACATTTTAATAATAATATTTTTTCTTGAACATTAACTTACCAGATACTGAATAAACTGCACAAATTAATAAGTGTAACGCAAATAAACCTATTTTTCTGGTTCTCCAAAAGTGAAATGTTTCCTGTTGCACACACCAAACAAGTCAGTCCAAGACTAATGATGTGGCCATCCGCTGCTAAAATATTCGCTGCTAGTATTAGTGGAGAGAAATGGTGCGCCTGCGCGTAAGCTGTGTAAGGGAAATGAATGCAACACAATTATAGTAATCAGTCATTAGCAAACATTGTAGTTCATTATTAATAATTATGCATAACAGGATATTGTAAAAATTAAGTCACGAAATTTTTATTAAAACGTTTCTTACATACCATTAAATTGGCTGGGCCGCAAAAATATTCGTTGTGGGCCACATGCAGCCCGTGGGCTGTGGTTTGACATGCTTGGTGTAGACCCCGTAAAAGTCATGGCCTAGGCCAGGGGTGGGCAAACTTTTTGACTCGAGGGCCACAATGGGTTCTTAAACTGGACCGGAGCAAAAGCATGGATGGAGTGTTTGTGTGAACTAATGTAAATTCAAAGTAAACATCATTACATAAAAGGGTACGGTCTTTTTTTTTTTTTAGTTTTATTCATTTCAAACGGGCCGGATCCGGCCCGCTGGCCGTAGTTTGCCCACAGCTGGCCTAGGCCCACGGGGGGGTTCCTGCCGGCAGCCTGTGAACACCGGTACCACAGGGGTTTCTTTGCTGGACTTGGTTTAGAAGGCAGGATGACCTCAAAGGCGAGGGTTTCACACCCACCCTGGCGGGACCTGGCCCAGCCTTTCGCAGAGGACAAAGCTCTGCAGAACTGGCCATCCACAGCATCTACACTGCCTCGCAGTTCCTCTGCTCAGGCCTGACGGACAGTGTCTCAGGAGACAGCGTCCCTGCCTCTGCAGTCCCGGCGGCCAGTGCGCTCTGTGTCTGGCCTGAGGGTTTGTACTTCAGTTCAGGACTCGGGTCTCCCGTTTTTAGAGCTTTTCTTCTAGCCTAACTTCCGGCGGGACTTGCCTTTTGGTCCGTGACAGGGTGTGTGAGAGTGGCCCCCCCCACCGCAGCGCTGTGTGCAGGCCCCAATGGGCACTGGTTGATGTTCGGTCCCTTTGCCTGCCTGTCCTGTTTCTTTCCTGCAGAATGGGGAGCTGATTTATGGCTGCAAAGATGCCCGCAGCCCCGCAGTTGACTGGCGGGAGCTGGCACATCACCTGAAGCCGTTCTTCTACCCGTCCAACGGCCTGGCCAGCGGGCCCCACTGCGCGAGGGCCGTGATCCGGGAGCTGGTGCGCGTCATCACACGGGTGCTGCTCAGTGGCTCGGACAAGGGCCGGGCAAGTGCCCTGAAGTTGGGGCCTGGATCCCCAGGGCCTTGTGTCTGTGAAGCCAGCCCCTTCAGCAGGAGCCTGCGTCACCAAGGTAGGCTGGCAGGTGGGCAGAGCCTGGCGTTGCCTGATGGGGTGCTGCCTGGTCTCCCGGAGCTTCTGCAGGAGCAGCCTGGGCCCCACAGGCCTCCCCAGAGCCAGCCTCCCTGCCTCTGAGCCCTAAGTGGGGAGGCTCCCTTCTCGTCTCTGCCGTGGGTGTATACATGGCAGCCCAGATCTTCCCTACATCACTGTCCACCGTGTCAGTGTTTGCTGAGTGCTTTCTCCACGTCCTCCTGATCCATCCTCTTTGTGAACCTGGGGCAGGCTTCCTTGGCCTGTTCGCAGGCACAGAAGTTGGAGCCCCACAGTGCAGGTCCTTTGCAGGGGGAGGGGAGGGTGCAGGGCCAGCAGGTGCAGGGCTCCTGGCCCTGGACGCTCCCTGCTCGAGGGCCTGTTCCTCACAGACTCACCAGGAGCTGGCTGTGACTTGGTGGCCTCTGGTCTTCCAGGTGGCTAGCTTGAATTTTTGTCCTGAGTGTCCCCACGCTCCTCGTTTGCCCTGTGTCATCCGCCAGCAGCTCAGGTCTGTGGCATGAGGAGCTGACTAGGAAGAGGAAACTGCGGTTTTGCTGCGGTCTGAGCTCTGGTGGGGCTGTGGGTGACTGTTAGCAGTGAGGTCAGCCAGGCACAACCTAAACCACCACCCTCCGCATGCCACCTCTTCTCCACGTGGGCTGTGGGTCGGGGCTCCACAGACACGCTCTCTCACATTTGGGGCTGTTAACATGGTCACTTTAAATGTTGTGCCTTATCTGAGAGCCATCTCTCTAAACAGCTCTGGGTTGGTGCGATGGAGCTGACGGACGCTGCAAGGGAAGAGAGGCACAGCACGAGATGTGGGTCGCCTGGCCCTGTGCACATGCCTGCAGCCCCAGCACCTCTGAAGCGGGCAGTCTGTGTCTGCTGCCGACATCAGTCCTTGGCAGTAACCCTCCTTTTCCCCGGATGTTCTTGGTAGGAAAAAGCAGCCTGGAGCACTCGGGGTTGCCGAAGGGCTGTCTTCTGTACCAAACCCTTCAGGTGCAGATGTTGGACCTGCTGGACATCGAAGGCCTCTACCCTCTGTACCGACGGGTTGAGCGGTACCTGGAGGAGTTTCCTGAGCAGAGGTGAGGCTTGGCCTGTGGTACCCCTGCCCCTCTGGGTCCAGGTGGGACCCCTGTGCAGCTCTGAGGGTGAGATGGGGTGAGGGTTAGGGTTCTCCAGTGGAGGACAGCACAGGGCTCCCAGGAGGCTGACCCAGTGGCCTTCCCTCCATCCCTTCAGATGCAGGCCCGCCCCGGGATGGTGCTGTGGGGTCAGTTTCTGGAAAAGCAGCATGTCCTGGGGGTTGGACAGTCCACAGCCGCGGCTCTGGGTCCTGAGTCAGGGCTGAGCTGCAGGGGGCAGTGCTGCTCCACAGCAGCAGCCTGTCTGCCCGGCAGTCTCTGCCTCAGGCTTCCCTGTGCCCACCAGTCGGGGTGGCTGGGTCCACACAGGCGGGGCGGCAGGCGGCACCTGCCTCCCACTCTCCATTCACGTGGGCTCTGACTGGACACCGTGTATTAGGATCAGGATGTGTTCAGCTCAGCTCCCAGGCTCTGGTCTTCCAGGGTCTTCAGGGCAAAGTGTAGACTTAGAGGAGGAGGAGCCCTTTGAGCCAGAGGTGTGGTTGCTGAGCTGTTAGCAGTTTAAGAAACAGTCCCTGTGTTTGTGGCATCTTATTTCCATCCCTTCCCTTAAGGAAAGCATTGCAGATCGATGGGCCGTATGACGAAGCATTTTACCAGAAGCTGCTCGACCTTTCCACAGAGGACGATGGGACAGTGGCCTTTGCGCTGACCAAGGTGAGCAGGCCTTTCCGGAAGTGCACCGGGTGCTCCTTAGGCTCTCACACTGAGCTGGGCTTTCCTGAGAAATGTTTCCTGGCGGTTGAGGCAGAAATCGGGAACTTTAAAGAAGCATGGTTAAGGTTGTCCTCCTATGGACTGGCCTGGGGAGGGTTGGTTCAGGTGGCTCCAGTCTAGCCCTGGGCCCAGCTGTCTCCGCACCCCATGCCGGGGCCTAGGGCTGCAGCCACCTCTCTTCACTTCCTTTTGAGAAGCTGGGGTACTGGCTGGCACCAGCCCCCTCTTGTGGCCTCCCTGGGGTCTGGACCCGCCCTGGGCTGGGTGGGGGGCTTTCTTCCTCTGCAACTCAGGCCCAGGGGAGCATGGAAGAAACTTTTAGGGAAGAGGCCTGGTCCTGTTCTTTCTGGTTCTGTCAAACCAGGGAATTCAGAACCTCCATGGAACTAGGTAGAAAAATATATCTTTTACTAAGTTAGCATCTCCTTCCATACGAATATGGCAATGACATCTATGAAGTGAACAGGATCCTGACTGCACCGAGAAATCAGAACTTTCATTTCACACTGCAGCTGCTGCCGAAGCTTCACGGAAGCTGTGCAGTCCTCATTCTGAGGTTTGGTTCTGTAGTTCTGGGTAACACATTTGTTTTAAAAATTGTGTCTGATAGGGTCACCTCTGTCCTTTATTTTCTGCATTGAAAGATGTTATTCTGACAGGCATCCATGGGCTGCACTGGGCTGTCAGGTGGTGTAGATGCGGAAATGGGAGGTGACAGAGGCAGGAGCAAAGTGCTGACCTCCTGTGTGCACTGGCGGCGGCCCTGGTGCCTGGAACGGCCTGTCCTGGTGCCCGTGCTTGTGTGTGGTTCCCACTGTGAGCCTCACTGTTGTTTGGCCGAGGAGGGCCCTGCAAAGGCCACGCTGTCAAAGCCGGGAGACCCACAGTGGGCCTCAGCCTCGGCATCAAGCGACAGAATATGCCCCGTTTCTTGATTGTGGAATAAATAACAGCATTGCTTCTTTTTTCAAGAGGAAACAGGACTTGACTTCCTTTTTTATCCATTTCTATGATTTCAAAATGCCTACTAAATAAGCATGGATTACTTTCTAATTTTATTTCAGTTTTTTAACCTCATGTAAACATAATCTTACACAGCAATGAGAATGGCTAAAGTCAGCACATTGGGGGGACACAGAGTGCGATGCAGAGAAGCAGGGTCACTCACACACACCAGCCCCTCGGGGAAACACTATTGCAGCGTCATACAAAATTACACGTGCAGGCAGTCTGTGACCCACTGGCACTTCTCTGAGGACAGAAGACTCATGCATGCCCAAAATCCGGGCTAGAATCTGCACTCAGCCCGGTGTCAGCAGGTGACCTACAACAGGTTGCCTGAACGCATTGCTGAGCAGTGAAAAGGAATGAACTCCAGATACACACAGCACCTGGGGAACCCCCCGGGAATCTTGCTGACTGACAAAAGCCAACCACAACCAGTCACACACTGTGATTCTGTTTAGGTGACTTTAAAAATATATACATTCTAGAGGCCCGGTGCACGAAATTCATGCATGGGGCGAGGGTGGGGGGTGTCCCTCAGCCTGACCTGTACCCTCTCCAATCTGGGAGCCCTAAGAGGATGTCCTACTGATGGCTTAGGCCCACTCCCCGTGGTTCTCTATTCTCTGCAGACCTGCCTGCCTGTCTGCTCTCTGGCTCACCGCCGTGGTCAGGGGCAAGCAGGGCCCTGGTGTCTGCTCTCAGTGAGGGGCAAGCAGGGCTGACAGTACTGAACACTCCAGCAGCGGGGCTGAGGGGACTGGGCGCCACCATCTTTTTGTGACGGAGTGACTGTTAATTTGCATATTACCCTTTTATTAGATAGGATGTTTTTATTACTTTCCAGGAGAGGAAGGGAGAGGGAGAGAGAGCATGAAGCATCAACAATGAGAGAGAATCATCGGTCAGCTGCCTCCTGTACATCCCCTACAACCTGGGATCGAGCCCGCAACCTGGGCATGTGCCCTGACTGGGAATCGAACCATGACCTCCTGGTTCCTGGGTGGACTCTTAACCACTGAGCTACACCAGCCAGGCATAGGTGACACATTTGCAATGATGGATATGGGTCATTGCTGTGGGTTGGGGAGGAGGGAGGAGGAAGTGAGTGTGAGTATAAAAGGCCTACTCAAGGGATCCTTGCTGTATGGGACTGCTCTCTAACTTTACTGAGTTGGTGGGTGCACGAACTGCATGTTTGATCACACACATGCACACGTGTGCACACACGCACAATGGTATGTGCAGAACTCTGGAGATGGGCAGGAGATGGAGCAGTGTTCAGGGTCCCTCTCCTGGCTGTGAGACTGTATTCAATCATTTCTGCAAGACGTCACCACGGGGCTGGGTGAAGGGCACTCAGGATCTCTGCCTTGTTTCTCACGGCTGCATGTGAACCTACACTTATGTCTAGACAAACTGTCTAATGAAAAGATCAAGCAGGGAGCACATCGTATAACATGTGGCCGTATTTCTGCCCAAGCAGTTGATATCCATGGTTAACAGTATGTCAGTGTCTTTTCAGAACTTTACACACATGCACACACATACACGCTCACACCATTTGGGGATTGCCCACATTACAGTGCTGCTTGCTAGCTTGAGTTGAATGACACACGGCTAAGAGCTCTGTGCTGTTTGTCTGAGGGAGCTAGGGTCTAGAGCAGTGGTTCTCAACCTTCTGGCCCTTTAAATACAGTTCCTCATGTTGTGACCCAACCATAAAATTATTTTCGTTGCTACTTCATAACTAATGTTGCTACTGTTATGAATCGTAATGTAAATATCTGATCTGCAGGATAGTCTTAGGCAACCCCTGTGAAAGGGTCGTTCGACCACCAAAGGGGTCACGACCCACAGGTTGAGAACCGCTGGTCTAGAGGCTAAATCAGGAGAGAGCTGGGGAGCAGTTTGAGCTGGGGAGCAGGTGGAGAACATCCATTGGCCACAGATGTTGAAGTTCTTTCTTGAAGGCTGTTTATCTGATGTACCTCTGGTGAAGTGAGAGAGGAGGAGGCGCTGTCTTTATTCCCATGCTCAGGAAACAGCCCAGAGTGTATAGTATTCTGTAGCAGGAGTCGGCAGAGTTTTTCTACAAAGGGCCGGATAGTAAGTGTTTTAGACTTTGTAGGTCATCTGGACGCTGCCATTGTCACTTAGAAGGAGCCAGAGACAAACAAACAAGCACAGTGTGTTCCAGTAAAACTTCCTTTTACGAAACAGGTGGCGGGCTGGATTTGGCGCCCAGCCCATAGAGTGCTGCTGATCTCTTCACTTTTGCTTTTAGTTTTTATATTCCATTTTTTTACAAGTTTGGAATTTACACATTTTTTTTATTATTTTAGTGATTACTTATTCAATTTGACCATGGATATTTAAAGTCTGAAGTTAATTAATGACTTAACCAACCCCAAACCACGGCTATATGGGCAAGGGAAGGAATTGGGATACTTTAATTCCATGATCTCTCCCAACATGCATGCAGTTATGTCTGCGATTCTGTTTGTCCTATTCTTTTTTAAAATCACAATACACAGTCTTATTTTACACAGGTGTTTGTATAGAACTATCACATGTTTGCCCACATCTTATCCAACATTCTTGCATCTCAGATATTTCTTCTTTTTCCTTTTTTTCTATAACAGCTTTATTGAGGTATAATTTACATGTCATACAGTTTACCTGCTTAAAGTGTACAATTCAGTAGTACTTACTAGATTCACAAGTGCAACCATCACCATAATCAGTTTTAGAACATTTCTTCAACTCAAAAACAAATTCCTACTCTTTAGCTACTGTCCCCTGTCTCTCCATCCCTCCCACCCCTAACTCTAAGCAACCACTACTGCTTCTTCTCTGCCTGTTCTAGACAGTGCATATAAAGGTGCCATTCAACTTGTGGACCTTTATGACTGGCTTCTTTCACTTAGCTTAATGTTTTCAAGGTTCATCTATACCAGTGATGGCGAACCTATGTCACCTCTGACACGCGAACTCATTTTTTTGGTTGATTTCTTTGTTAAATGGCATTTAAATATATAAAATAAATATCAAAAATATAAGTCTTTGTTTTACTATAGTTGCAAATATCAAAAAATTTCTATATGTGACACGGCACCAGAGTTAAGTTAGGGTTTTTCAAAATGCTGACACGCCAAGCTCAAAAGGTTCGCCATCACTGATCTATACCAGTACTTTGTGACCAAGTAATATTCTATTTTATAAGATATACAAAATATAAATTTGGTTTATTCATTTATCAGTTGGTGGGCATTGGGTTGTTTCCACTTTTTGGCTACTGTGAACAATGCTGCTAGAAATAATTGTGTACACATTTTTGTGTGGACATATGTTTACTTTTCTTGGGTGTATGCATAGGAGTGGAATTGGTGGGTCAAATGGTAACTTGCTGTCCCACCAGCAGTGTAGGACAGTTCCAATTTGTCCATATCTTTGACAACACTCGTTATCTGTCCTGATTTTAACCATCCTTTTGGGTGTGAAGTAGTATCTCATTGTGGCTTTGATTTTTCATTTCCTTGAAGACTAAGAGCATTTTTTAAATTTATATCTTCTTTGGAGAAATCTTTTCAGATCCTTTGCCTACTTTTAAAATTATTTATTTTAAATTATTATTATTTATCTTGTTGAGTTGTAAAAATTCTGTATTTTGTGGATAGGAGGCCCTTATCAGGTATATGATCTGCAAATATTTTCTTCCATCTTGTCAGTTGTCTTTTCACTTTTTTGATAATGTCTTTTGATGCAAAAATATTTTTAATTTTGATGAAGTCCAATTTATCTATTTTATCTTTTTTATTTGTTCATGCTTTTGGTTGTCATATCTAAGAATCCATTGCTAAATCTAAGGTAATGAATATGTTTCCCTGTTTTTCTAATAGTTTTATAGTTTTAGCTCTTACATTTGGTTCTTT